TAAACTGTGCACCAGATCTCGGTTTGACAGCGGAGATAATGGTAAGCTTCTCTAAGTGACAACCTCATTGCAGGTGTTGAGTGCTTCTTGGAGGGGTTAGGGTAGGAGGTTTTCTCAGCTCGTCTCTCCTAACAGGGGAACAAGACCTGATGGACCAGGGGAGGGCCCCAGTCTGCTCAGTGTGCCACAGCCAAGGTACAGCTCATCACTGGGGTTTAGGCAAAAAAAAGGAGTCCATACCTCTCAACCACACTTACCTGGGACTTAGCCTCAGCAACAGGCATTTTAGGGACAGATGAAAAACACTGAAGCCCTGCTTCTGGGAAATAAAGTCCTGTGTCTGAGAACTCAGGAGAGAGGGCAGAAGGAAGGAGTCATCTTGGCTCAAATACCCAGACTCTCAACTTCCTTACCAAATTTTCATAGATTTTCCTAAATAGATTATTCATTTACTGTTTGTCCATAGGTCCATTTCCTTAAGCATTAAGTAGTAATTTTTAAAAAATAATTTTTTACCAGTTTTACTAGGTCACTGGGGTTCTTCATGCCATCATGCTGGAAATGTTGATCTAGTTAACTTTCAAAAATTATGGTAAAATGCACATGACATTTATCATCTTAACCATACTTAAATGTTAATGGCATTAAATACTTCCACATTGTTGTGCAATCATCACCACCCATCCATCTCCAGAACTCTTTAAAAAGAAATCCCTGAATCCTTTAAAAACAAAGCCTCTGAACCCATTAAACAATAATTCCTCTTTACTCTTTCCCTGGTGACTATCAGTCTACCTTCTGTCTCTATGAATTTGAGGTATCTAGGTATCTCAGATAAGTAGAGTAATACACTCTGTCCTTTTGTGACTTGTTTCTTTCATTTAGCATAAGGCTCATCCATGTAGTAGCATGTATTGAAATCTCCTTCCTTTTAAAGCCACACACACACATACACACACACACACACACACACTTTGTTTATTCATTTATCTGTTGATGGAAACTTAGGTTGCTTCCACCTTTTAGCTACTGTGAATAATGTTGCTATGAACACAATTGTACAAGTATCTGTTCAAGTTTTTGCTTTCAGTTCTTTCGGGTATAGACCAAGAAAGGGAATTGTGGGATCATACGGTAATTCTATTTAAAAATTTTTGAGAAACAATAATACTGTTTCCGTAGCAGCTATGCCATTTTACAGTCTTATCAACAGTGCACAAAGTTCCAATTTCTCTATATCCTCATCAACGATTGTTATTTTCTGTTATTGTTGGTGGGTTTTTTTTTTCCACAGTAGCCATCCTAATTGGTGTGAGGTGGTGTCTTATTGTGGTTCTGATCTACATTTCCTTAATGATTGTTGATGTGATGTTAAGTATTTTTTCATGTGCTGTCAGTCATTTGTATTTCTTCTTTGGAAAAATATTTACTCAAGGTATTCAAATTCTTTGTCCATTTTTTAATCAGGCTGTTTATTGTTGAGTTGCAGTTCTTTGTAGATTCTCAGTATTAACTTATAATCAGATATGTGATTTTCTATTTTTTTCCTCATCCCATGGGTTGCTTTTCACTCTGTTGTTGTGTTCCTTGATGCACAGAAGTCTCTAATGCTTGATATAGTCCAATACATCTATTTTTCTCTTTTGTTGTATATGCTTTTAGTATCTAAGAAACCACTGCCAAATCCAATGTCAAAAAGTTTTTCCCTTATGTTTTCTTCTAAGAGTTCTATAATTTTAATTCTCATCTTGAGGTCTTTGATACATTTGGAGTTATTTTTATATATGATGTAAGAGTCCTACTTCATCCCTTTGCATGTAGATAACCAGTCTTCCCAACACCTTTGTTGAAAAGACACCATTTCCCCATTGCATGGTCTTGGCATTCTTATTGTGAATGTTATTTCTGGCCTGTATTCTATTTCATCGATATATATGTCTGTCTTTATGCCAATACAACAGTGTATTGATTACTGCAGCTTTGTAGCAAGTTTTTAAATCAGAAAGTGTAAAACTCCAACTTTGTTCTTTTTCAAGGTTGTTTTGGCTATTTGGGCTCCTTTGATATTCTAAGTAAATTTTAGGACGGATTTTTATTTCTGCAAAAAATGTCATTGGATGATGTTGATAGAGATTGCATTAAATCTGTGGATTGCTTTGGACAGTATCAATAGTTTAACAATATGAAATCTAATCTATGAACAAAGGATCTTTCCCATTCATTGTTGTCTTCTTTCATTTCTTTAAACAATCTTTGTAGTTATCAAGTGTACAAGTCTTTTACCTCCTTAGTTAAGTTTATTTCTAAGCATTTCATTC